AAGGAGGAAATGATGGCCGGGCACAATGGCTCATGCCTGTAATCCTAGCACTTTCTGGGCACGGTGGCTCACACCTGTAATCCTAGCATTTCGGGAGGCTGAGGTGGGTGGATTGCCTGAGTTCAGGAGTTTGAGACCAGCCTGGGCAACGTGGTGAAACCCTAACTCTACTAAAATGCAAAACATTAGCTGGGCATGGTGGCATGTGCCTGTAGTCCCAGCTACTCGGGAGGCTGAGATGGGAGAATTGCTTGAACCTGGGAGGTGGAGGTTGCAGTGAGCCAAGATCACACCTCTGTACTCCAGCCTGGGCAACAGGATAAGACTGTCAAAAAAAAAAAAAAAAGAAATTCTGACACATGCTACACATGGATGAATCTGAAGACATTATGCTATGTGAAATGAGCCAGTCACAACAGAAGAAACCATGTATGATTCCATTTATATGAGGTACCTAAAATAGTCAAACTCTCAGAGTCAAAATGGAGAATGGTGGTTTCCAGGGGCTGGGGAGAGGGGTGAATAGAGAGTTCGTGTTGAATGGGTAGAGTTTCAGTTGAGGAAGATGAAATAGTTCTGGAGCCGGTGGTGACGGTTGCATAACAATATATATGTACTTAATGGCACTGAACTGTACATTTAAATTGTTAAAATGGTACATTCTCACATCTGTAATCCCAGCACTTTGGGAGGCCGAGGCAGGTGGATCACGAGATCAAGAGATTGAGACCATCCTGGTCAACATGGTGAAACCCTGTCTCTACTAAAAATACAAAAATTAGCTGGGCATGGTGGTGCACACCTATAATCCCAGCTACTTGGGAGGCTGAGGCAGGAGAATTGCTTGAACCCAGGAGGTGGAGGTTGCAGTGAGCCAAAATCCACCCATGCACTCCAGCCTCTCAACAGAGCAAGACTTCATCTCAAAAAGAAAAAATGCCATTAGAATATGGATAGCAAAAAAGAAAAATGGGCACATTCTGTGTTACGTATCTTACCACAATAAAACAGAAATCTTCACTGACTTCCCATGCTCCGTGCAGCGGGGTAATGGATGGTCGCTGGTGTCTGGCTGCCCAGCAGCGTCTCAGCCTCCAGGCATGGGCTGTCTGCAGGACCCCAGCCCCCTGTGGGAGTGAATATCAGATGCGTGCTCTCCCTGATCCTGGCAACCAGGACCTAAGCTGATCAGATTCTCCACCTGGAGTGACAGGTGTGAAGAGGAATGAAGGCACCACCTGTCCAGCAGTGTCTGGTGTGAGGAATGTGAGTTTGCTTATCTGCAGGCCCTCCCCATGTCCTGGTTCTGGCAGTCAGCACCTCACAGTGTCTGCCCTTCGAAGTCTCTTCTTCCCACGAGTTCTGTCACTCCTCAGCATCCTGCCAATAAACTCCTTTTCACTCAAATCAGCCAGCATTGTTTCCTGTTAGCACCCCAGAACCCTGGCTGGTCTAGGGGGCCCCTGACACCTTAGCGGGGCTCATGAAAACTCCAGGCCGAGGTGGATGTCCAGGCTTCAGCCCACAGACCTACCAAAGGCCACTAGCTGCTCGGAGGTCCCTGCCTCTGAACCTTCAGTTAGACTGCTCTCTGCCTCTTGTGTCTTTCCCCACTCCGGGGTCACCTGGGGAGCCCTGCGTCATTAAGTCTGGCTCACATGTCCCCCTTGCTGAGCCTTTCCTCCCCACCTGCCCCACCACAGTGGAAGCAAAGAGAACAGGTTCTGGAATCCAACTGGGTTCGAAGCCTAGCTCTGCCAGTTTCTAGCTGTATGACCCCAGGCAAGTGATAATAATTAGCCTCTGCTGTGCCTGTTTCCTTATCTGTAAAATGGGGACAATAATGATACCTATGCCATAGTGTTTAAAAATGAATGGGATAGCTGGACAAGGTGACGTGTGCCTGTAGTCCCAGCTACTCGGGAGGCTGAGGTGGGAGGATTGCTTGAGCCCAGGAGTTCTGGGCTGTAGTGTGCTATGCACTAAGTTCGGCATCAATATGGTGACCTCCTGGGACCACCAGGTTGCCTAAGGAGGGGTGAACTGGTCCAGGTCAGAAAGAGAGCAGGTCAAAACTCCCGTGCTGATCAGTAGTGGGATCGTGCCTGTGAATAGCCACTGCACTTCCAGCCTGGGCAACATAGCGACACCCCTGTCTCTTAAAAAAAAAAAAAAAAATAGAATGAGATAGCTGGCCAGGTGCGATGGCTCACACCTGTAATCCCAGCACTTTGGGATGCCGAGGTGGGTGGATCACCTGAGGTCAGGAGTTCAAGACCAGCCTGGCCAACATGGTGAAACCCCATCTCTACTAAAAATACAAAAATTAGCCGGGCATGGTGGCAGGTGCCCGTAATACCAGCTACTTGGGAGGCTGAAGCAGGAGAATTGCCTGAACCTGGAGCAGCAGCAGGGGCGGGTGGAGGTAGCAGTGAGCCAAGATCATGACGCCACACTCCAGTCTGGGCAAAAGAGCAAAACTGTCTCAAAAAAAAAAAAAAGAAGATACTACAAGTACTTAGTGCATGGTCAGTGCTCAATGAACAATTTTCAAGTCAAACTGATCATTCCCTCCATTTTTAAGTCCCAGAAGCCTACACGGACCTATCAGAACACCTTCAAGCTCCATTCTGTCTGCTCCTCACACGTTCACACAGTAGCTGTGAGCTCCCTCAGACTGGAGACAGGGTCATATTTGTTTTTGTCCCCCCAGGGTCCAGGCATGTCATGAAGTAAGTGGCTGTGGTGGTTTCCCACCAGCCTGCGTAGTTGTGCCCCTCCAGTGGGAGCTGGGGACAGAGGCTTCAGAGAGCCTCTGAATGCCCGGTTGGAGGGGCACAGATGGAGTCGAGCGATGGTGCCTGGCAGCCTGCCTCAGGCATGACCTCCCACAGGTACAAATTCTGGTCCCACCAGCGTGCATGTGAGGACTGAAGCCAGCCCCATGGCTCACAGCTGTCCCCACTTCTTGGAAAGTGGACTTCACCCTCCCTCTCCACAGGGCACGTCCCCACACAGCCTATGGACCCCTGCCTCCTCACCTGGGTCCTCAGCCCGGTGGCCCACCACCCCTTCAGACGAGGCCTTGGCTCAAGCCTGGTGGTTCTCCCAACACGGGAGCCTAGACCAGCCTGCCTTCCCCTCCACAGTGTGGCTGACAGCTTGGCAGGCTCTCTGACAGCCACCTGCTTGAGGATCAGTCCACCTCCAGCCGTGACTCTTCTCCAGCCAGTTTTCTCTTCTGAAAAGTGGGGCCAATTCCTTCCCTCTAACGGAGTTGGTTGGGGGCTGTTTTCCAGATTGATGGTCACATGCAAAGCAGCTAGCACAGTTCCTCCTCATAAATTGCTAGCAGCATTTTACGCAGCCCTGTGATTAACCCCTTAAAGGAGGAGATTCATTTTTGTACCTTCTCAACATTCAGGGAAGGACCTTGAACAAAGTTAGGGCTCAATCAATATTTGTGGAGTTGAATTCCCATTTCACAGAGTAGGAAGCTGAGCCTGAGTTCCTGCAGCTGCCCCATCTATGAGCGGCAGAGCAGGACTCAAATCTGCGTCCTGAGCTATCTTCTGTCCGCATCTGAGTAAACACTTGTCTGTGCTTGGCTGGTGGGACCCTGAGGGGACCCCAGTCCTGTCTGTCTGTCTATCTGCTCATCCTCACCTACCAACTGGTAACCATGGAGCTTTTCATGCTTCCCAGTGTCCTCTGATGGGCACTAATATGTGGGCATGGTGTTAAGAGTTGCTAGATTTAGCAAAAAAATACAGGATGCCCAGTTAAGCCTGAATCTTGGATAAACAACACAATTTTTTCAGAATAAGCCTGTCCCTGGCCAGGTGCGGTGGCTCACACCTGTAATTCCAGCACTTTGGGAGGCTAAGGTGCGTGGATCAGGAGGTCGGGAGTTCAAGACCAGCCTGGCCAAGATGGTGAAACCCTGTCTCTACTAAAAATACAAAAAATTAGCCGGGCATGGTGGCGGACACCTGTAATCCCAGCTACTCAGAAGGCTGTGGCAGAGAATTGCTTTAATCCAGGAGGCAGAGGTAGCAGTGAGCCTCGATCGAGCCACTGCACTCCTGCCTGGGTGACAGTGAGAGTCTGTCTCAAAAATAATAATAATAAATAAGCGTGTCCCTGCCAGGCGTGGTGGCTCACGCCTGTAGTCCCAGCACTTTGGGAGGCCAAGGTGGGTGGATCATGAGGTCAGGAGATCGAGACTATCCTGGCTAACACACTGAAAATCTGTCTCTACTAAAAATACAAAAAATTAGCCAGGCATGGTGGCACACACCTGTAGTCTGAACCACTCAGGAGGCTGAGGCAGGAGAATTGCTTGACTCCAGGAGGCGGAGGTTGTAGTGAACCAAGATCTGCACTACTACACTCCAGCCTGGGTGACAAAGCAAGACTTGTCTCAAAAAAAAAAAAAAAGAATAAGCATGTCCCAAATCAGAGAAATAACAGATAGTTTTCTAGTACAAGTATGTCCCATGCCACATATGGGATATGCATATGTGGGTTGAGCATCCCTAATCTGAAAATCCAAAAACTGAGCACTGCCATGACATTCACTGTAGTATTTTGGATTCTGGATTTTCAGATTAGGGATGCTTAACTGGTGTAATGCTAATATGCCAAAATCCTAAGAAATCTGAAATCCAAAACACTTCTAGATAGGCATTTCGGATAAGAAATTCCCTTCAAGATGAAATTCGGGTGGGGATATTAAAGATAAAACTGAGACCAGTTTGGGCAACATGGTGAAAACCTGTCTCTACAAAAAATACACAAATTAGCTGGGTGTGGTGGCAGGTCTACAGTTATAGCTACTCGGGAGGCTGAGGTGGGAGAATTGCCCGAGCCTGGGAAGTCGAGGCTGCAGTGAGCTAGGAGGGCGCCGCTGCACTCCAGCCTGGGCGACAGAGTGGAACCCTGTCTCAAAAGCAAATACATAATAAAGTCTCAAAAAAATTCATTATCTGAGATTCCAGTTTAACCTGGCATTCTGTGTTTTATTTGGCAACGCTACGTGGGTACAATGGTACCTGGCCCATTCTATAGTAAGTGTGTCAGGGTCTCATGCACACCTTCTCCAGGATTAACTCAGTTTAGACACTTGTCACACGCAGCCACCAACTTCTTCACTTCCAAAACCCTTGGCAATTCTCCCCCCAGTGCCTCCCTCCTTCCACCCACCCTCTGAACTGTGGCCAAACAGCCCACATAGACAGACTCACAAAGATCCCCATACCTCCTCATCCCCAGAGGGCTACAGCCCAGGCCCTGCTGTGGGCCCTTCGCAGGACCCCACAGCTCTTGCTCTGGATTCCCCTGCGTTCTTGTTTGAGACCAGGCGGCACATCCTCCATGTAGTCTTTCCGGAGCTCCAAAGCAGAGGGCATGACTCCCTCTTCTTGCAGCCTCTCTGTACAGACCTCTTGTGGCTCATCCCCATGCACTGTGGTCATCTGCAAACCTGAGCCTCCCCCATCCTCCAGGAACTTCTCCTGGGCAGAACCAGGTTGCGTCCATCTATATGTTCCCAGGACCTATGCCATAGGCAATGTGCCTGTAAGCGCGTGAGTGAATGTATCCCAGCATGTGAGTAAGTCTTTGTTTCCTTACCATTTCTTATATTTGGGCCTTTTAGGCCACTTCCAGTTTTTCTTCATGGTGCAAATCAGCTATTGTGGTCGTCCGTGTGAGTTGCTTTTATTTGGAGTTGTTTCTTTAAGCCTAGTTTGCAAAGTGAGTTTCTCAGAGGCATGACTCTTGATCGATCGTTCCGCAGCCAGGTTCCCCTGGTGACAGAGCTGCCTATTCTCCAGCAGCCCTACTACGCTGGACTCAAGGACTTTCTGGGGTTACAGGGCCCTCTGCAGAGTGTCGGTTTATATCACGTGGTCAGGAATTGTGTAATTTTAGGCTGCCTAGAAAGGTACAATATAACACAGCCACAAGCCTATGCCACAAGTCCACGGGGATCTAGAGGCGCAGGGGGGCTCAGTGTGAAGAAGAACCATGTCTGTGGTTACTTGGCCAGAAGATGCACAGGATTCTGAAAAATACCAGGGTGAAAAATGGCAACAATTCTATTAACTTCAGCCTTTTTTTTTTACCTGAGAGTCTTGCTCTGAAGCCCAGACTGGAGTGCAGTGGTACAAACACAGCTGAGTGTAGCCTTGACTTCCGAGGCTCAAGTGATCCTCCCACCTCAGCCTCCCAAGTAGCTGAGACTACAGGCACCCGCCACCATGCCCAGCCAATGTTTACATTTTTTGTAGAGATGGGGGTCTTGCTATGTTGCCCAGGCTGGTCTCTAACTCCTGGGCTCAAGCAATCCTTCCTCCTGCCTTGGCCTCCAAAGGTGCTGGGATTACAGGTGTGAGCCACTGCATTCAGCCTCAAAATATTTTCAGTGTGTAGTTTGGTAGGATTGCCGGATAAAATCCAGGACACCTAGTTAAATTTGCATTTCAAATCAACAGTGAACTGTTTGTTAGTACAGAGTATCCCAAACATTGTGTGAGACGGATAATGATAAAGTATCCATTTTCAGCTGAAATTCAGATTTCACTGGGCAGCCTGTGTTGTATTTGTTAAATCTAGCAACTTCACTTTGAGAGGGTCTGGCTTACTGGACAGAGCTGGTGGTAGACACTCCCCAGGCTGGAAGCTGCCCCACAAAAACAAGACCAGTCCAGAAAGGGTTTGGGGGTGTGGTAGATGTGGGCTTCTGTTTCCCTCAGTCTCTTAGGGGCGGACAAAGAGCCTACTCCAAGCTGGTCAAGAAGCCAGTGGTGCAGCCTATTGAGAAGCAGGAACCCAAGGACCCTCAGGCTTCCGAGGAACGGAACACAGAGGTGACAGGAAGCCCCAGGGCCTCCCAAGGCAGCAGCCAGGGGAGGCAGGAGAGCTGGAGAAATTCTTCCTGTGTCCGAATGGAGGCCTGAACAACCCGTTGTCACACCCAGCCTCCAGCTGTCAGTGTCCAGGCCTGGCTCCTGGGCTCAGGGCTGAGGAACGGGTGCAGGGGAGTTCAGCAGTGGAGGGCCTCCTGGACAGCTCCCATTCACATCTCCTGTCACACTTTCTCTACAGGGTGGGGGATACAGATGACAGGGCCCCTACAAAGCAGGGAGATGGAAAGGACGGGGGCATGGGAGGACCCAGGCTCTTGGGTGAGCTGCCTCGTCCCTCTCCATCACCTTGTCACCTTCTCTGCAAAGCCACCTTCCTCAGAACAGCTGGAACCTACCATCACGTTCCTGTTTACACTCCTGAACACGTCTGAGCCCACTGAGCCCCAAGACCCTGAATCGTAAGGCTGCATGAGAGAGAGAGAGTGTGTGTGTGTGTGTGTGTGTGTGTGTGCACATGCAGGCGCATGCAGGCATGTGAAAAACAGGGAGGCGGATGGTGCTTCTCCCACCCCCATACCCAGAAACATTCAAACCTGGGCCAGGACTCAGCCTTGGGCTGTGCAGAGAGGAAGCCCAGAGAGGCCTGATGGGGCCTGGGCCTTCGGCTGGACACCCCCACGCTGCCCACCCTCCTCTGCCATCCCCTAGAGCCTCTGGCCTGACCTTCCCTGCCCACTTGCTCCAGGGACTCAGAGATCCAGGAGTACTGGTTCCTAGATCAGGAAGGCTGGGGCCCCCAGCAGACCACAAAGGAGATCAGGCATTTGCAGAATGACTGCATGAGGTAAGTTGGTTGGGCAAGTGGGGGCAGGTAGGGTGACAGGGCTTCCCCCAGCCGAGGCAAGGCCTGGCTTTCAGGTAAGGGCCCACGTGCTTGTTGAGCGGGTATTCAGGAACCCCCCACCTTTAATTGTCCAAGAACTTGAGTGGTTCAGTCTTGGGGAGGGACTTGTTCCCTGAATGTCAGGGTCTGGAGCTGGGGTCTGCACAATCCCATGGCCACTCACCCCTCTGGGGTAATGCCGGGGTCAGAGCCCCACCTGTCAGCAGCGGTGCTGGGTCGGGGTGGGGCATGGCAGAGGCTTCCAGAGTCTTCCTGATCTAGGAACCAGAACTAAGTGACCTAAGTGACCCATTCATACACAGCTGACTTGGAGCACGTAGGCGGGGCTGGTTCCAGTGCTGACCCTGTCCCTGGGGCCACAGAGAATCCTGTTTCAACCCTGTCTACAGCCCAAAGGGGCGGCTAGCCCTATACCACCCACCCTTCCAACGGGAGCCTCAGAGGGTTTCTAGCCCAGCCATAGAAGCAGCCTGCCCTGCTCTTGCAAAGGAAGACAAAAAGCATTAGTCTCTGTCTGGGTCCCCCGCTACCAATCACTCAGAGAGAACAATTCCCATCCCACCTGTGGTTTTGCCGGGACAGGAAGACTGGTGACGCTGGTCCCAGGTGGCTGATGCAGGAGGTGGGGGGGGGGTGCTGCCTGGAACAGGAGCCTGGGGGCTGAGGTGGAAGGGGTCTCTTTCTCAACCCTAGGCTTCGGGAGTCACTGAAAGCTACCCAAGCATGCAACCTGGCCCTGGGGGAGAAGCTGCAAAACCTGGTGAGCCCCTGAGCCAGGACCCCCTTTCTTTGTCTTGCCCCCTCCCTGCCTCCCAGCCCAGCTCTGCTAGAGGGGTCTCAGGTTGTCCAGCAGGCCGGCTACCCACCTCGGGCCCTGCAACCCTTTGTCCAGCCCACCTTGTTGTATCGGAGCCTGAAGGAGGGAGCCCAGGCGATCCAGGAGGAGGCCCAGGCCATCCAGGATGAAGTGAAGGCCCTGCGGAAGGAAACCCAGGCTCTGCTGAAAGTGGCTCTGCTCAGGTGTGTGGGCAGCCGTGGGGCAGGGAGGGAGGAGGCGGCTGCCCCAGGCTGCTCACTCGAGCTGTCCCTGCCTGCAGTGACCCAAACCCTGAGAAGGCAGATCTCTTCATGCTGCCTGACCTGCCTCACGACCACAGAGACCAGGGTCAGGCCCGGCTGGACCCCAGGCCAGAGGTCGGACACGTCTTCGAGAGGCCTGTCCATCAGCCAGCTCCTCCCTAGGTCCCGGCAATAAACTTGGAAACTGAACTTCAGCTCCACCGCCTGTCTGTGGGCCCTGGGCCTCAGATGGGGAGCAGGAGGTCACCAAGTCCGTACTGAGCTCAGCCCCTCAGCCACCCTCTGACATTACTTCCACTCCCTTAGTTCACTCATCCTGGATCTACCCACTCCCCCACATGGCCCTGCCCTCCCCGCCACCCCTCACAGACGGTTCCAGAGCTGGTTTTTGTCAGCCTTGAGATGAGAGCTCAAGGACGATGTTCCCTGCCCTCCATAAGCACTGGGGTGAGGCTGGAAAGGGGCCACAGCCGCTCCCCAGAGGATCCAGGCGCCTTGCTCTAACTCCAAAGTGCAGAAGGACACTGGGGTGGGGGTGGGGGTGGGATAGAGGAAGAGCCACTACCCATCTGGTTACCTTGGAAAAGCCCCTTCCCTTTCGTAAGTCATGGGGTTGGGGGGAAGAGAGAGGGGTGGCAATTCCTCAAGGGCCAGAATCCTACACCCCTTAGGCCTAGAGATACATAACAATTTTGAGTTTCACCCCCCCACCCAGGGACCCTCTGGCCCCAGGCCTCCTGGGAGCCCCCAGCCCCTCTCCACCAATGTGGCTACAAAACAGAAGAACACAAAAAACTGGCACATACATAGTCAAGGGGGAGAAAGGAATCTTTTTTTTTCCTTTTTTATTATTATTTTTTATTTTCCTCTTTTTTTCTTTAGTTTTTTTTTTTTTTCTTTTGAATCACATTAAATGGAAAGGGAAGGAATCTTGATAGAAGATTGCTAAATTACATCAAAAGTGGTTAATATTCCTTAGTATTCTACAGAGCATTTATTTTTTAAATCCCATAACCTGGGCTGGGCATGGTGGCTCACACCTGTAATCCCAGCACTTTGGGAGGCTAAGGTGGGCGGATCACCTGAGGTCAGGAGTTCGAGACCAGCATGGCCAAAATAGCAAAACCTGGTCTCTATTAAAAATACAAAAAGTAGCCAGGTGTGGTGGTGTGGGCCTATAATCCCAGCTACTTGGGAGGCTGAGGCACAAGAATCACTTGAATCCAGGGGCGGAGGCTTCAGTGCACCAAGGTGACACCACTGCACTCCAGCCTGGGTAACAGAGCGAGACTTGGTCTCCAAAATAAAAAAAAATTCGCTGGGTGTAGTGGCAAATACTGTAATCCCAGTTACTTGGGAGGCTGAGGCAGGAAAATCACTTGAATCCAGGAGGCGGAGGTTGCAGTGAGCCGAGATCACACCATTGCACTCCAGTCTGGGTGACAAGAGCGAAACTCTGTCTCAGAAAAAAAAAAAAGGCCGGGCGCAGTGGCTCATGCCTGTAATCCCAGCACTTTGGGAGGCTGAGGTGGCGGATCACAAGGGCAAGAGATCGAGACCATCCTGGCCAACATGGTGAAACCCCATCTCTACTAAAAATACAAAAATTAGCTGGGCATGGTGGTGTGCGCCTGTAGTCCCAGCTACTCAGGAGGCTGAGGCAGGAGAATTGCTTGAACCCAGGAGGTGGTGGTTGCGGTGAGCCAAGATCGTGCCACTGCACTCCAGCCTGGCGCCCGACAATGGAGCAAGACTCTGTCTCAAAAAAAAAAAAAAAAAAGTGTAACTTGTGGGAAGAGGAGGTTGAGGAGGAGGATTGGGAGGTAAGTTCTGGGTATGCTAAGCCTGAAATGCCTTTTGATCGCCCAAGTGTGAATGTATATTGGGCAGCTGGAAATGCAAGAGTTCGGGGGAGAGGTTCTTATGGGAGACGTATACTGTGGCTTTCTGGTTTATAGTTGGTCATTTGTATTGGTTGTCTATTTTGCTGTTACAAATTACTCCAAAACCTAGCAGCCTAAAACCATAAACATGTATTATCTCACACAGTGTCCACAGGTTAGGAATTTCTAAGTGGCTTGGTTCAGTGGCACTGGCTTAGGGTGTCTCATGAGGCTGCAGTCAAGATTCCAGCAGGGGCTGCCGTATTCTGAAGGCTTGGCTGGTGTTGGAGGACCCATTTCCATGGTGGCTTATTCACAGGGCTAGCAAGTTAGTGCTGAGTGTTGACATGAGGCTTCAGTGCCTCACCGTGAGGACTGTCCATAGTGTTTCTTGAGTGTCCTCACAACATGGCGTCTGGGAGGCCACGTGGCTCTGCAAGCACATCCAGGGGCAAGAGTACAGGTACAGAGGAGGCAGAGAGTGAGTCAGATGTAACCAGAATGGGGTTTTCCCAGGGGATGTGAGCAAAGCAGAGAGGATCGGGGGTTGAGAGGGTTTCCAGGGCTCTAACTGGGCAAGGTGAGTACATGTGGGAGGCGAAGGAGGGTGGAATGAAGGTGAGTGTGTGGGGCAGGTGGAGAGTGGGACGGAGCCAGCAGCAGTACATTGCTGGTCCTGGAAGATTAAAGACCCCTTGGAGCCAGAGCCATTGGGGGAATAAAGTGGGAAAATGAAAGGTGGTCACATGCCCTAACTACCTTAAGTGATTTCCAGCAACGCCCACAATCCGGAATATTCTGGGAGGGGGCCATACCACCCATCCAGCAAAGATGGAGGAAGAAAATTAACCAAGTTAATGTCTGATGCCTACAGCCATGTAGGCACCATGGATGCCAGCAGCCTGAGTGGATCTCTTGGGTGTCACACACACAGCTGTTTGCACACTCTCTGACACAAACCATGGGTGTCATCCACTTAGGCGTCACACACTCTTGTCCTGTCATCATATGATCGAGGGGTTAACTCCTTCCAGGAGTGGCTGCCTCAGTCCTTCAACTTATCAGCTGACCTTGGCGTCCCGGTTTCCACCTGGTGGTAACTGTCCTGTGTACTCATAAGGAAGGTTTATGCTCCCTGCACTGATGGGCTTCTGATAAGATCCAAGGTCATATTCTGGGCGTCGATAATCACCTTGCCAAGAACTGTGGCTTCCTGGTGCACCTCCCAGAAGTCACTGATCACACGACACCCCCTCCCAGCCACCCCAGTCCTCCCATGCTGACCCTCCTGACCAGCAGCACAAGAGATGATGGTGCCAGCAAAATGGGGTTGTGAGCAGGAAGGAGGCTACTCTGAGATGGGGCTGTGAAATCACACACACACATGCACACACACGCGCACACATGCACACACGCACACACACACGCACACACACTCTGCCCTGGCCCAGCCCCCAAGCTCTGCAGGCGTCTTTGAGCCCATCCATGGGCTGCAACCTAGCCAGGCAGAGTCAAGGCAGGACAGGCCATGAGAGGGTGGGAGAAGTCTCAGCTCAAGCCCTAGGGACCCTCCCAGCCCTGCCTGGCTGTAAGATCTGGAAGAGGCTCAGTATGTGTATGGCGTACTTGGGGCCTCATTGCCCTCTCTGCCCTTGCACATGCTGGAATACCTTCTCAGCCTTGGAGGACCCCCTCAAATGTTCCCCCCAGACGGAATTCCTCACTCTCTCACTGGGAGCATGCTGATCCTCCCTCTACGGGGCACTGGCCACATGGCTGAACCTGGAGTCTGTCTGCCTCACCTGCTGGACTTTCTTCCCCACAGCTTTGCATGGCTCTAGCGTAGCGCAGAATGAATAAACAGTGCTTGCATGTATAGGGAAGGAATGAATAGGTGAATGGAGGGATGGGGGGATCGACAAATAGGAGAGTGGATGACGGAGTCCAGGCAGGGCAAAGGAATAGAAGAAGAGTCAGCTTTCTAAGGAGGCATGGGCTTCCCTGGCTGCGTCCTCTGGGACGGCTTCCCTTCCCAGGACTCCCACTCCTCGCAAAGCTGGGCCCCTTTCAGGATAGATGCAGAGAATTCTTCTGGGTACCCCTTCTTCCTTTGACTCTAGGCCTTATGTCTTAGGGAGTCAGATGAGGGATGAGTAGCTAAAATGAATGAGCTCCAGTTATGTCTACAGATGCCATCTTGTTGAATGAAAATGGTGCCACAGGGTTATGAAGCAGGTTTTATTATCCCCACCATGCAGCTGAGAAAATAGGCATAGAGAAGCCGAGTGAATTGCCCAAGGTCACACAGCTTATGTCCAGCAAGGAGGAGGCCTCAACTCAAAATCTGCTCAGGCAGGCAGGGCTGGGTGTTCTGCAGATCAGCTGCCTTGGAGGGAGGCAGAGGCAGTGAGGGTGGGCAGTGGGCATGGCCCTGCTGTGAATGCAGGAGCTCTGAGTTCTAGTCAGTCCTGGCTTGGCCTCTGTTTTACTGGGATACTGTGGGTAAGACCCGTCCCTCTGGGCCTCAGTGCCCCTGGGTGGCCTTGCTGCCCTTGGAGGGCCATTCCAGGTAAACGATGCAGAATGTGGTGGATGTGGATGGCTCCTGGCTCTCACTGTGAGATGTTCCTCTCTCTCCCTGCCAACTGGGGGCCAAAGGGCAGTGCCACCCATGGGGTAATGGTTAACCAGGCCCAACACCCCCTATATGTGGAATTACCTATAGACCAGGCCCACCCCAGTGGCTGAGAGGCCACAGGATGCAGTGGACAAAGGTGTTGGGGCTGGGGCTGGGGGCTGCTGCCTTCTTGGGGCTGGGGATCATCCTGGGCCACTTTGCCATCCCCAAGGAAGCCAGCTCACCAGCCCCAGGGCCCCCAGTTACAGGGCTCCCAGTTACAGGGTCCCCAGCCCCCAGCATCTCAGCCCCCCAGGACCTGGACCTACAGATCCTGGAGACCGTCATGGGGCAGCTGAATGCCAGCAGGATCCGGGAGAACCTCAGGTGAGAGGTGGGGGTGTCTGCTCCTCCATTTGCCAGAAGCCCCTGCCCTGATGCTGGCCTTGCCCCTCCCTCTGTCCACTCTGCAGAGAACTCTCCAGGGAGCCGCACGTTGCCACCAGCCCTCGGGATGAAGACCTGGTGCAGCTGCTACTGCAGCGCTGGAGGGACCCAGAGTCAGGCCTGGACTCGGCCGAGGCCTCCAACTACGAGGTGCTGCTGTCCTTCCCCAGCCAGGAGCAGCCTAACCTTGTACACGTTGGTGAGGTCCTGCCCAGCCTTGGGAATGTCCCAGCGGTTTCCCAGTGGGGGAGCTGCTGGGCCAGCCATGACACTGCCACCCAACCCCCAACAGTGGGCCCCACTGGGGACATCATCTACTCCTGCCGCCAGACCGAGGAGAACCTGACCGGGGAGCAAGGGGGGCCAGATGTGGTACAAC